TTCTCAATCAGATTATTATTTGGGTGAGCAATCCAGAAAGAGCTGACCGCCCTGAAAAAGAGAGAGAGAGAGAGAGAGAGAGAGAGAGAGATTTTAGATTTATTTCATGCTACTACCATTTTAGGACACCACCCTTCTTGAAGTTTACTCATAATGATAGGGTAAGGTTTCTATGATGATGACTGCAACATCTGCACCATCTAATAAAGGACACCTTTTATGTAAAGTTAAATACCAAGCATTTCATGGGATTGTATGTGGAACAGGTCACAAATCACAACAAACAACCCATTAGCATAAAAACAGCAAATTAGAAATCTATTAAAGACATTTCACGTCTTTACAAAGTAATCTTTAAATGCAATTGTTGCTGTTGGTGGTGGTCAGCTGGTGACGAAGGGTCTTTCTGAGGGTCTATGGAATGACTCACATCCCCCCTGGTCTTTTGAGGGGATGTATAACATGGAAAAGACCCTGATGTTAGGAAAGTGTGAAGGCAAGAGAAGGGGACGACAGAGGACGAGATGGTTGGACAGGGTCATTGAAGCGACCAACATGAATGTGACCCAACTCCGGGAGGCAGTGGAAGACAGGAGAGCCTGGCGTGCTCTGGTCCATGGGGTCACGAAGAGTCAGACATGACTGAATGAGTAAACAACAATAACAATAACATCCCATGGTTCAGCCATGCACGTCCAACACAACTACCTGGAATGAAAGCCAAAACCCACCACTGGAGTTGACCAAAGGCTACAGCCCTGTGGTGGGATCTAGAACCGCCTTGTACTGCTGGCAAAAAGAGCCTATCGGAAATTCTGCACAGCCACCCGAAACTGGTGGATTCCACAAGACTGTTTTCCCATCCAGGCTGAAGCTTCCTCTTTTGTGAGATCAGCCCATTAGGGAACACCCTTTCCGTTGGAACTTCACATGAAGAAAGGTAACTCCCCACCCAAAACTCATCACTATCTCAAATCCTCCCACAGAAGGAAGACAGGACTGCATCTTAAAGAAAAGGCTTACAGTCTAGCTTGACATGCATCCGTTGCCTTGCCAAGGGGTGCAGGAATATTCTTTGAGTCATCCCTGCCAGTTTGATAAGACATGCCAGGAAATGTCCAGTACAAACAGCAGAGACTCGGCTTACAGACCAGGCTAGTTTGCTACAGCAAGGCCTCTTATTACAGACATGGCAAAGTTATGTCGGAAGTTTATGCAGAGAGTCCAAAGACAGGCATGAATTCCCAGTCAACCGTACCAGCACTTCATCAGCTGGCAAAGAGCAACGCTAATCGATGCTTAATTATCTTGCCATTTTATGCCCTCAGGCTCATGCTGAGGGAGCAAAGCCTGGCCTGAGAAAGAAATGAAAGGGCAAATCATCCTTTAGGGCTCCCGGAATGTAAATGATATAAACATACAATTGTTGGGAGTTCCATTCCCCACTGTGTCTGCTGGGAGAAAAGCCAGCCTGGGTGGCCTTGGGCCAGCTGCACTGTCTCAGGACATCCCCCTAGAGGCAGGGAAGGGTAATACACTTCTAAGTACCCTATATCTAGAAAACCCTAAAAGGGTCATGATGAGTCAGAATTGACTCAAGGGCATGCAAAGTTTCTAATGTACTTCAAAGGATACCCTAATTCACAACAATGTAAACAGTATATCAGATTTTCAACATATGATGAAACCTTTTATGAGACTGCTTTTCAAAAGTCTCATTTAAAACACACATACACACACACACACTTCTCTGCAATAACAAGCCAAGTGCCACACCATTACATGTTCTGAAAACAGGAAGCCTCTTTGTTTGGCAATGCTGTGACATCGTGGCATGCCTGCAGCCCAAGGCAGTCCATACGTCCTTTTGGGGCGGAGCAGGTAGCATTGGCCAACGCGTTCACCCTAAGAGTCAACTGTTTTGTTTGGTAACCAAATGGGAAGGAGATCATTAACGTCACTGGAGAATAGGCGGCTTGCTCAGAGGCAATTCAGCTCAAGAATGGCGGCTTTCGAGGAACATTTGAGGGTTTTTTTGTTGTTGTTGTTGGAAAAAAACTTGAGACCAAATGAAAAGAAATGATGGGGAATAAATACTAGAGAACCAGCTCTATTTCTTGTTCAATGGGTGCGTGATAAATAAGGTGGCTTTTACGCATGTTGCATTCGGATGTCAGCACGACTTCTGCCTAGGCCACATTTTTTTGCTAGCACCCAATGCCGTGCCCTTCAGGGACCGATGCATGGATTAAAGACCATGCGCGCGCACATCCCTGTTTAAAGAAGGTAGACGGTCATGCATTTCCACACTGGCCTCATTCAGCCCATCGGAAGAGGTCCAGCTGCTGTCCAGCTGCTCAACTGGACTCACGTGCAATCTTTGCTGGGAACCGGAATGTAGTCCCCGTAGACGCCATCGCGCAGGGCAAGGCACATGGCTTCGTCCCGATCCGTCGGCAAAATCGTACCCGCTTTGGTCAGGAGCGCCAGGTTGTGAGAAAACGTGTTCCGCTGCTCGGTCCCATCTTCGAGGAAAAAACAATGCCCCAGAGTGTCGTAGCCAATGGTGTCTTTCACCTAAAACCAAGCATACGCCTTCAGAAAAAGGGGAAAAAACCACCAATGACAGCTGTCAACACAATTATGTTTATTTTCTGCACTTCGGTCGGGAGACGCCTTGGTGGCTTCGCTAAGTTTTCGGATAAATATCCCAGGCCTGTCTCCTGATGTTTTCGGGACTGGTAGTTGGGTGGCTTTGTTTTTAGGGGGAAAAAATCTCTGTTTAAAGACCGAAACCCATGTTCAACAGCAAACATTGTCCACACCGAAAGGGAAATTTTGGAGTGAAATGTGAAGTCTTGTCTAGCTCTGCATGCCCCTTGGCTTTCACCGTGGCCTTGGTCATCAGACTCCCTATCATAGTACAGAGCTGTTTTCTTTCTTTAACCCATACAGTTCTGACGCACAGCACTGCCCTCACTCTGAACTGGCTTCAAAATTCAACACAGAGCGAAGGGTGCATTCAATATAAACCATAACATAAAAAATGCTTCCATCCATCAAATGCCAACAGCATTCTGCCCCATGCTTGCAAGCATTTAATGCAAACCATGGTCTGGATCCAACTGGAAGCCCAACTAAAGTAGACCCATTGAATCAATGAGATTAACACAAGGGTTGATTCAGCATTCAACAATTGAGTCAACGCGTCTACTTGGAGGAGCAATTTGTTTTAAGATAAGGTGCTACATGCTTTTGTACATTCAACGCAAGCAACACTGTCCATTAAATGTTTTTGCGTTTAACACAACTAACAATATGTCAACAGTATTCTCGAAGGCTTTCACAGCCGGTGGTTGTAGGTTTTTCGGGCTGTTTGGCCGTGTTCTGGACACAGCCTGAAAAACCGACAACAAGCAATATGTCAACGGCTTGTCTGCAGCTTAATGTCTGACGTGGGTTAAATAGTAACTAAAGAGAGTGATTAGAATTGGTCTGCCTGAGAGTACAGGATTAATCCTACCACCACCACACCTAATTAAAAATTTCCTAGCCCCAGAACACCAATGGAAACTTCCCTCTAATCTGAAGTTGAGGGAGAAAGAAGGTTTATGTATTATCTTGCCTATTAGTGAGGTTTATGTCCTATTTTTTCTTCTTCTTCAGTGCACTCAACGACTTAGTCCACTCTATCTCCATTTTCTCCTCATAACATCCTTCAGAAATAGGTTGGTTTGAGTGAACAAGTGACAGGGAGAGTGAGGGAAAGAGAGGGAAATTTGAGAAGGGGGAAACTCTGCCTCTTTCGGACTGCAGCCCTCATAACCCCACACATTAGGAACCATAGGCCAGGAGTGGCCGGAGGGCCAAAGTTGCCCCCTCCCCAAAACATAAGCCCAGCTATGCTATTTTAGCTCAGAGGATTCCACACTTCTCTGGCAGTCAAAACACAGCAGTAGCAAATTCAATAAATACTAATTTTCTGGCACTTCCCAAATTGGCTACCTAAAGCAGCTGCCCCACTCTGCCTCATAGCCGGGCCGGCTCTTACAGCAGCTCCACCAGTCACGATGCACCTGGCATTTATCTTTTAAATGTGTCCGGATTAAAATTAACACAGCTTCTTGTGCTCAGGTTTGTTTAACCACGAGTTCCAGCCCTCCTGCTTCATCCCCTCCGACATTCTTTACGAACCACACGTAGGATGTTTTCTTGGCAGCCGGCCCGGATTATCCTTTCCAAAAACGATTTGGCCGGGTTGCTTTAGGGCTCATGTTGCGTGAGTGCCAAAACTGTCTGCGAGCGAACATCACGCAATAGCCATCAACGCAACCCCCCGGGGAGCATGAAGTTCATTTATTGTGTTGCCCGGCTATAAATATATTTGCGATCTGGAAGCAGTCCAAGTTATCTCACATTTAAAAGCCCCTAAAGGACCCAGATTGGCATAAAAATGAAATTTGAGGCATGCGTTGACGCTGGCCATATTTTCCCTCTCCAAATATCTTTCTAATATATAAGCTGGGGATGTCAAACCTGAGACGTTCAATTCCAAGATTCTCCTTATTTAGATCTCCAAATTTTTTTAACCTCTTCAGCAGCTGGCTAAAGAGCACTTTCCTTGGGGGGGAGGACCTGCTTTGGGGGGGTTATCACTGAGACACCCCAAATCTAATCTTTACCAAACTTGGGAGGGGGGACAGGAAGGAGAGCAATCAGAAAACTCACTGCAAGTTTTGTGTCTCTGATTCACAGAGGTGTGTGTGTGTGTGTGTGTGTGTGTGTGTGTGTGTGTGTGTAAGTGTAAGTGTAAAATCTACTGCTCCTGGAAGTCCCAAATCTCATAAACCACAAAGTGTATGAATCAGCAATGCCAATCATATTTGTTTGACATTTTGTTTGATTCCAGGCAGGAATGTTTCTCCAACGTGCCCTAAAATGAACTATGCAATGGGGTTATTTGCTTCATGGTTCGTTTCATGTCCATCTCTAATGATAACGCTCGATGCCAACTTCCATTCCACCAAGATTTGCCAGCATTCAGATGGAAATCCAATGCTTTAAAGTTCCAATAAATCTTTAAAATTCAAATAACAGTTTCCCCCTTGTGAATAGAAACAAACAAACTCCTACCAGAAGGCCGTGGGCCCCGTGGATGGCCACGCATCTCGAGAAGCAGTGATGGATGGCGAGGTTGTCAAGGTAAGACGGCGGGTCATAACCTCCTCGCTCATCCACGTCTCCCGTGAGATGGAAATGCACAGGGTAACTGCCCAGGATTTGTTGACCCATGTGTTTCAGCTCTACCCCTGCCATGTGGACCGAGTTAAAATTCCTTTGGATCTATTGGGACAGAGAGACAAGTGAAGTGATAAATCTACAAGAAAGCATCCCATAAACAATACCTGCCTTGGCCTATTTAACCAGGACTTGGAAACAATCTGTTAAAGAAACCTCGTTAACCTTCATGCACTACAATGATTTGAAAATGTGTTGATTTCGCCGCTAAACCACCAAATACCACTCAAATACCTGCTGAAATGTACTTACTTTAATCTGTCCTCCAAAGGTATCAAAGCTGAAAAACTGGCAGTGGTTTGACCCATAGCACGACTCTTCCATTTCTCCTTGGATAAGGATATTTCGGGTCAAAAGGCCCACTTCGGCTCTCATGTCTACGCCGTCTACAATCTCCCCCATGTGAAGGTACAGTGGAGCGCCTGGCCAAAAATAAAGTGATCAAGATGCAGAATGAATCCTTCAGCCTGATTAATAACAGAACCAAAAAATCGGTGAATAGGGAACGAAAATCCAGCAAGCTGGGTAAATAACTGGATAACCCAAACTTGATTCCAACATGTTGTTACCTTCTTATGATTACATATGGTTTTTCACATTTGGGCTACACTTTACGTAAGCGAGTGGTTCCCAAGTTTGAGTAACCCAAGTGTTCTTGGACTACAATTCCCAGAAGCCTTCACCACCAGGATTTCTAGGAACTACAGTCTCAGAACAACTGGATTTCCCAAGGATGGGAACCACTCCCATTCCTTCATCCAAAGGGTTGTTCTTCATGCTACCAGTCTTACACTAGTTGCAAATATGATGTGCAGCCAATCAAAGAGGAATCTCTGAGAGACGAAACATCTCCAAGAATTGTTCTCTTGCAAGCTTTTTTTGCCCTACTTGATTTTGGCATGGTGGGTCCTGCCAAGAGTCCTTTGTTCTCAGATCGTAGTTGAAGATGTAAGACAAAAAAAAGTGTCTAATTCCTGGGCTCCCTGATGTTCCGGCCATTGGACTGGCATGCTGCTATGTCAAAACAATACGGAGGCCATCAAACTAATGGAAGCACGAGAAGAAAAGGGGGAAAGTCAAGAGAAAACAGAATTGATTGCAAGAGTTAAGAGACGGAGGGCTGTTTAAAGAGGCCCAACGTAAAGGCAAAACAGATCATGCCATTCTCAACTTATCTTGATTTTGCTAGACTCTTCTGTTTACACTGAAGAAGAAAAGAGATCGGCATGATTGCAACAGTGATTTATTAATGGATGGTGTATGATGCTTGATTGAGGTGGTTTAGGCATCTGGCTGCGCAGCCTGAGGTTGGGAGTTTGATTCTCCCCACAGGGACTGGCTTTGATAATCCACAGCAGGGTTTCCCAACCTCGGTTCTCCAGCTGTTCTTGGACCAGAACTCCCAGAAGCATTTGCCACCAGCTGTGCTGGCCAAGATTTCTGAGACTTGTACCCCAAGAACCTCTGAGGATCCAAAGTCGGGAGCCACTGATCCTTAGGTTTCCAGCTCTGCGGTTCTCAGGTTATCGTCATCCTAAAATGCATAAATGGCTTTTCTTTCGACTTCTTTGCTCAAGCAGTGACCTTCAGACATAAAACAGGGAATGGAAGATATTATAGTCCCTTTTTCCCCCACAAAGGAAATGTGAGGGAGACCTTTTTTGGGGTCCTACCAGCAATCTTCACTTGGTGGGGTTGACATTCGGGGCAAAGCAGGAGGCGAAACTCTTCCGCCTGGTGCATGGAGTAGTCGGTGCTGGCCACCACGATCTCGTCTCCTGGTAGCCAACTGGTCACGTCATCTGCCAAATCTAAAATGACGCCATTCGGCACTTCCACTTTAAATCCATGATGGGGCACCCCTGAGAAGATTGGGGGGGGGGAAGAGAGATAACAATCAGTCTCATTGACCTTCACTGAGATGGGATCTGTTAACTCATCTCTCTTATAAGAATTATAATTGTGTTCCGTCAAGTCAATTTCTGACTTTAGGGTGACCCTTTTTGGGGTTTTCTTGGTAGAGAATGCTCAGAGGTGTATTACCCTTCCCTTCCTCTAGGGGCCACCCTGGGGCTGTGCAGCTGGCCCAAGGCTACCCAGGCTGGCTCTTCACCCTGTAGACATAGTGGGGAATCGAACTCTCAAGTGCTGGCTCCAGAGATGTTGCTACACTAAAGGGACAAGCAGCCTGGCCCAATTCATTGACATAGATAGGATACAAATAGATGTCTTCCAGAGGAGATCCCCCCCCCGGGCCACAGTGACTAAGCACTGAGACCATGATAGGGAACACACGGTCTCTCAGAGTTTTGTCAGACTCCCACTCCCATTATCCCTGCTGGCTGGGGATTATGGGAGCTGGCACCCGAGAACACTTCAGAGGCATGGGGCATTCCTGATTCTTGCCTTTAAAGCTTGCAGGACATTTTTTTCAGGGAGGGTGGGTGGGACACCAGCTGGCTGTTGTTTAGAAGTGCTTCCAACCGGTGGTTAAAAATGTTAATTTAGTGGAACAGTAACAAGGAGGAAGATAGACTGCCAGCGAGAAGAGGGTGGGAAAAATACAGGCTCAATTGTGTCTTGTGAAAAGAGCAAAGTTAAATTCTAAGCGACTGTAGCCAGCTATCTATTGTAGGGTTTTCTTTGCTGATAGCTGGAGAGAGCCAACAGGGGCCCCCCTTGGCTTTAATCCCAGAAAAGGACAGAGCAGAGGGAAACAAAAACTTCAGCAGGAGTCAATGTGAGACGCCTGCTGGTCCACCGATGGATCAAATGCCAGGTGATCGGAGGGTCAAACATTTGACGCGGGGCCCAGAGGTGACCTTCTCATGGGCTGAGAAATGCATGGCTCTCCTCTGTTCAAGGAAAGGATCACAGGGCACGGATTACAGTTCCCATCTGGCATAGCCAATTGTGGGGGGGATGATGGGAGCTGCAGTCCAAATAACAATATTCCCCACTCCCGTGTCAAAGCCCCGGACTAGGGTCGCGATCCACATTCTGCATCAACGCTCTTACCGATAGGCGTAAGATGCCTACAAGCAGAAGCTGAGCACAAAAGCGCCCTCGCCCATATTCCCTGGTAACTGGAATGCTAAAGGTATACTGCCTCTGAGTATGGAGGTTCAATACAGGCATCCCCACTAGGATCCATTAACAAGGTTTTCCCCCATGAATTTATCTATGGTAAAGAGCAAAACCTATAGCCTTCCAGAAGCAGTTAGGTTCCTCTTATGATCCTGCCTTAGCATTGGCTCTATATCTGGCTACGGCCAATGGGATTTGTAGTCCATCCCCATGCAAACTGCAACAATTGCCCACCACTGGGGTACCTGCGGGTCACCCAAAGCTGGATTTCCTCTCTCGCCAGGGCTAGCCTGCATCGCCAATGCTAAGGGCTGATGGGATTTGTAATCCAGTCCCATAGCAGAAATCCCAGCTCTGGGCCTATAAAGAAGCAGGGGAGGCTCAGCAGGCAGAATCAAGTGCCTCTAAGGGTGGTTGGTTAGTTTGTTTTTGCAAATATAATACTTGAGTTTTGATTGTTTAAGCCGCTTCCTTTTGGCTTTGCAGCCATTGACTCAGTCACATACAGATTTCACTGCTCTCTCCGACTGATTGGGTTTTTTTTTAATCAATGGGTGACCACTCTGATAAAAGCTAGAGACAGGCCAAAAACATAGCGAGGAGGGTGGCCTGTTGCGTAGATACCCCTGGCTTCTAGAAAAGCAGACTCGACCACTAATCAAACAGAAGATTAGGAAAGGCGCCCAGAACCTTTGATCCAGCCGCTGTAAGCCGTGACACTAAAGCTGACCCCTTCATAGGTCTCGAAGCCTTTCGTTGCTACAGCCAGCTTTGCTGTGCCATTCCCCGGTGGCGGTTCGGCCTCTTCGGCAGTGGCAGACGCCTCTCCTCCGAGGATCCCAACCAAAGCCCAGGGTTGTCTGGAGAAACAGCCGGAACCAGGAAGAAGAAAAAAGGAGGAGAAAAACAAGGTCAACCATCCAGATATTGCTGGATGACACTGGCCATCATCCCTTAGTGTCAGATTTGCTGACCAGGAATGATGGGAGTTGAAATCCAACAACGTCTGGAAAGGTTTATTTTCCCCCTAGCCTTAATTTAGACCAAACACCCAGCGGAGAACTCTAATTAGTGATCAACTGAAAAGTGCAATACATAAATAATAATTATTGTTTGCCGTCAAGTCAGTTTGGACTTATGGTGACTCTTTACAGGGTTTTCCAGTCAGAGCCTACTCAGAAGTGGCTTCTCATTTCCTTCTTCGGAGGAAACCCTGTAATTGTGCAGCTTGCCCAAGGCTACCCAGGCTGGCTCTTCTCTCAGGAGGCAGAGAATGGGGCATCAACCCCCCCCATCTCTGGCTCTGCAGCACGGAGGTCCCTTAAAATATCTACCTGCAATCTGACCTGCCCCCCATTTGTGTTGGACCCCAGCAAAATCATGTCTCACACCCTGTCCGTATGAGAACATGCATGCGTCTCAGCTCTGAGACCTTTCACGCTTGGTTACAAAGAAGCTGCCAAGGGCAAAAATGGGAAGCCTTTTTTTCCCCCTCGGATCATCAAGTTCAATTTTTAAAAAAATCTCGGCGTGGACAGCGAGGAGGAAAAATCAGGGAGCTGTCCATGGTGGTGGAAAAGCTCACTGCTCTTTCCAAAAGTGATCAATGTAGAGTAACACTGAAGCGAGGAGCCAAATGCAACACTGGTGATACCTTTGGCGAGGCCTGGTTATGATTTAAGGCGATTGCAATGATGTGGATCCTCGAACTCCGATCCAGTGCTAAGGTCATTAAAGAGGTCAATGAAGAAGCACCTTTCAATCTGTGGGTGAGTGGCAGGGACACAGAATGCCTGCAGACGGGGTGTGTGTGTGTGTGTGTTCATCTTGATCTGGCAACAGGAAATTAAATTCCATCGCGCCTTAATTTTGCACCATTCCATTTGCCGACAAAACCAGCCACAACCAAGTCAACAACCTTCCTAACTACCTCCCCACCCCTTCTCCCCTGCAGCCGTTCCTAGGGTTCAAACAGAAAGAGAGAGAGAGAGAGATGTTCACCTCTACTTTGCACATGGATGGCGTTGGACCATGCTGAGCCACAACTAGATTTGTCTCAATTGTCAAGTTAGCAGTGAAAATTGCTTTAAAATAAGGAAAGAAGCAAAGAAGCAAATGCAAACCAAACCTCTAGAACATGGTCGTGATCGAACTTGGGGTAACAGCAACATGGGGGTCCCATCTTCCATGTCCCTCGAGCCCTCTCCTAATCCATCAAATGCCCTTGGCCAAGGAATTCCACATGGTCGTGACAAGGTGCCAATATTGTCCTTCTTAGAAGCAGAAACAACGCTAGCCTATTGAGAATGGTGCCTTGCATGCTCTTCTTAGACTACAATTCCCATCAGCGGAAGCCAGATTAGCCAATGGATGAGGACGACCAGGGAGGTAGTAGTACATTTGGAAGCTTATCTTGACTGTCCATATAGTCACCTTGCCCCATGAGAAGACTCAAAACAGGGGGGGGCCCTGGATTGGAGCATATGGACAATTGAGAAGGGGGTCTTTTGTAGAGCTAATGGCTCTTAATTGTCTTTGGGTGCCATCTGAGACTGACCGGTCCTCAAATGTTTATAGGGATTGCTCCCAACAATATTTGCCATTGGGAGGGAGGGGAAAAGCCATTTCCCTCTTAGCTAAGGATGGGGTTGCGCTTAAGCTGAGAGGGAGGTGGAAACCCTGAATAGGGTGGCAGAGGGTGGCACAATCCGCCACCCAGAAAGCGCCAAGAGATTCACCCCAGTGAACCCTGCCTCCACGACACCACTGGGAATCATGGGATCTGCAGTCCTCCTCAGAAACCAGCTTTCCCCATCCTCTCAATTAAACCCTGACCTACAGACACTTTCATAAAAGGATGGAAAGGTGCGTTTCTCAGCTTACCTGTACTGCAGGTGCAGGATGAATCGGCTGTGGAGCAGGTCCTTGAGAAACTGCCTTGCCTCCAGAGTTAAGTGCTTTGCAGCCGAATCCCCCACGGCTAAGGCGATCAGGTGGCCCGGGGGCTGCCGTACAAGGAACTCCTTTAATTTCTGGCTGGCATTGGCAAGGAGGTGGGTGTCAAAGCGGCCAGAGGCAACCACCTGGGCAGTGCCAGCATCAATGATCCGGATGTTGAGCCCCCGACTGCTCCAGCGCTTTTCGGAGGTGTGCGGGCCGTACCGGAGGCCCCCTGGGTACAAGGTTCTTGCCAAATATGTCCATGATTGGGGCTTTCTGCCATGGAGCTCCAGAATGCCCCCTCTTCCCACCCCCAAGAATTTCTTGCCGTAGCCCGCCACGTCTGCGCCCTCGGTGGCTTTTCCATAGAGAGAGATGGTCACCTTGGAGCGGTACGGGCAAAGCTCGGAGCCGATGTGCAGGGCCCCACCGTCCTCCAGGAGGATGCTGCGTGCTCTAAGGATGATCGGCTGCTCCGGATTGTCAGCAAAGACCAAGACTCCTGAAAAGGAAGCACAGAGAGATGACAGGATTTCTCCCCGGTGGGGGATGGGGGAATGATCTGCTATAATGAAGTGCAAGGCGAGGGGAAAGCTCAGATCCTCCACCTGGTAAACCAAGATGGCCAACAGCTGGAAATGGGTCCTGAAACATCTGGAGAGCCACCGGCTGAGCTCAAAAAGGCCAGCTTGTGACTGTGAGTTGCAGAAACCCCAAGCAAAACAGGCAAACATACCTCCAGCTAGATTTTTTTAGTCTGCAGTTTCCCTCTTGGGATTTCATCATCATTATCATCATGTGCCATCAAATCAACTCTGACTGCTGGCAACCCTTTCCAGGGTTTTCCAAGGACAGAATACTCAGAAGTGTATTACCATTCCTTCCACTAGGGGCGCTGTGGGACTGTGCAGCTTGCCCAAGGCTACCCAGGCTGGCTCTTCTCTCAGGAGGTACCCAGTGGAGAAATTGAACTCCCAACCTCTGGCTCCACAGCCAGAAACCTTAACCACTGAGCCCTCCAGCCAGCCTGGGATTTCAAACTATTGATCCTGAATCATGTTTAGCCAGCCCCCCCGGTCTCTCTATCTATGTATGGCAGCTTTTGTGGCTCAAATCCACTTCCTCAAACATAAGAGACCAAACTGAACTGTTAAATTCAACTAGGCTTCATATCTATCCCAATCCCACAAGCAGATTTTCAACAGCCTTTGAATGATTTGTTTCGCCGTCGGTCTTGAAAACAAGCGCAGTGTTCCTTCCTAGTCCGGTTTCTCAACCCCCAAAACTCTGCCTGGAATCATGTCTCTCCAACACTTAAGGTGCTGCCACCTCTCATCGTGGGCGGCCTGTATCTTATATTATATTTGGGCACTTGGAAAACTGACAGATTTATGACAGTACAAGATTTCCGTAGGTTGCGATCACCCTGACATAAATCGGTGAGTCGTCAAGGTGCTGCGACACATTGCTTTCATGGTTTCTCTTGTTTTTACAGGCTGCGACCTGTTCGAAAACAGCTAGAAGTTTCCCCCTCAGCCCTGCACTAAAAGTGAGTGACAAACAACCCCTGGTATAATGGCCATTTAACGCAGGTGGTGTGTTTTTAAGGCAAACCTCATCAGCTGTGGGGGGGTTTAATGAGGAGTGGGGTTTGCCACAGCTGTCTGGGGTAAAATTAAATTTATTCTCTTTGTTTGGTTTGGCAGAAACCTCTTTCTTCGGCACCAAGGAAGAGAGACATCCCTCCCATCACAAACAGCACCGGCAGAAAATCATGTCTCCTGTTTTTTTCCCAGCACACACAACCAAACATTGAGAGAATACAACTCTTTCTGGCCCATGGCAAGCTGAACAATGATGTCTCGGGGCTGGCAGGCCTGGGGGTGGGCTAGATGACCCCATGATCCCAGCCAGTTCGGCAGGATTTGACAGTGTGAGATCCTCAAACTGTGAACAACACACATCCCACTAGTTTTACCAGAAATCAGGGGAGTGTTGCGTCTCCAATTCCTGCCACTGACCCCCCCCCCAGGGCCATCCTACCTAAAGGGTAAGAGGAAGGATTTATGGATAGATATCTAGGTACCAAGTTACACAAACTTTTGGGGTTATCACAGCTCAGTGAATACATATGGGATCATATGAACTGCTGGATGGCTCCATGGCTGAGGCCCCCAGCTGCAGAGCCAGAAGTTGGGAGTTTGATTCCCCCCTTTGACCTCTTTGAGAAGGGCTGGACTTGATGATCCCATGGGATCCCTTTCAACTCTGCAGTCTTGAGATGAAGATGGTATGGTTCCCCCCGAATCCTCTTGGGCAAGCCTAGTCAGGAATACCAGAGTAGAGGATTTAGAGCTATGGAAATTCAGACCTTGAGCTCACTTACAAGCACTACACTTCCCAGAGCTGCTGGCTGAGGAATGTGGGGCTTGTAGTCCATTTTCAGCAACTTTCTCAACCTCTCTTCCTACTGGCACTAACCTAGAAGTCCACCCCGTGATTCTGCTCGGTTTGGCTCGAGACAAAACCCGGCTGATCCAGGAGGACCAGTCCTGGGTAAACCTAAACAGGAGTGAAGCCCTCTTCACAGATAGGTAAGGAAGAAAGGAAGGAAATAAATGTGTTGTCAGTTCTTACCTCCTTCCTGGATGAGCAGAGAGTGGAAAGTAGCAGAACTCTCCAGAAGGAAGGCGTCTTTTCGGCCAATGACCGCAGCATGGCTAGAGTTGTGACCCGGGTGCCAGGAGACCAGGGGCGCCACCGGAAAAGAGCAATTCCCTGGGGGGAGGGAGGGAGGGAGGAAAAGAGTGTCCCCCTTTGACCTCTCCCCAGCAAAAGACAAGCCCCCCAACTTCAACTTCTATCAAGTCAGCAAACCCAGGAGTGTGTAATTACAGGGTTAAGTGGAGGAGCCACAAAACAACGGGTGAGCATCATCCATGCACAGCGGCCGCCTCTACAACACAGGGTGTGTGTGTGTTAAAATAACAAATAAATGTAGAATTCTTGGGTGTGGGGAAGAGAACAAAGCTGAGCATAATTTGCATGGATGATGTGGGCCATTACAAGACTCCACCTGTTGGGCACCTGGAAACAGCTGCATCTTAGGTGAGCCAGTGTCAGTTTAGGACTGAGGAGTCCTGAGTTCAAATCCGCACTGGTGCAGGAGAACTCACTAGCCGGGTGGTACCGGTAAAGCCGCTTCTTAAATATATCTCCTATTCTAAAAACCGTGTTAGGGTCCCTAGCTTGATAGCACAGAACAAGAGCAAGCTTTAGGATTGAGAGAGGGGGGAAGGGGAAGCTGGTCCCTCCCCGTGCAGGCATTCAGGTCTCTCCCCCGTCAGGTAACATGCGAAAGGACAGAGAAAGGACGCGTGTCGAGAGAGAGAAGGGAGGGATCAACGGGAAGTACCCACCTGGCTGTGCGCTGGAGATCTGCTCCGGGAATCCATCACGCTGTGATCGAGGGATCGGGCCCCAGACTCCTTCTCAGCGTCTTGCGAAGGAGCAGCTGCAGCTGTGGCGCAAGTCCACCCCCCCGCCCCGCGGAACCCGTCCTGCGGCTCTGGATCGCCCTGCGCGCTTGCGCTTCGCGCCCGCGTTTGCGCCGTCGGGGTTCGAGTGGCGTCGCCGGCGGGGAAGGAGGAGGAGGAAAGTCTCCCGACCTCCGGCTTAAAGGCGCAGGTGGTGGCACAGGAAGAGGCGCAACCGCTCTGAGGATGCCGCGCAGCACGCGGTTGTCTCCCCTCGCTCCGGGCAGCCTCGTTCTGCTGCCTTTTCCCAAATTCCCCCCCGCGCGCAAGATTTTTCGCCACCATCATGACTCGTATCATTATTACCGTCACCAACTTCTAGCCGAAATCCTGCGAGTTCGCTCACGTGTACACACACCCACACACACAGGAACATTCACACACACACCCCGAAAACGACGACCCTAGACCCCACTCTCTTGGAAAGACGTCCCCCACAACCACTCCCCTATGGTTCCTCCCACAAGTAGACCCGTTGAGTGAATGAGATTTACGCAAGCGTCGGCGCCACATGGATCTACTTGCTAGGGAAGCCTAGTGACAGGCTACCGACCATTCGGTCTCGCTCCGGATAGGTTTTGAAGGGCCAAGGGACTGGAAACCTTTTTTTTTCCTGGACCCCAACTCCCATGCTCCCCCAAGCCGGCTGGTTGGGTGGGGGAGCATGGGAGCGGTAGTTTCAAACACAAAAGGAAGTTTGTCCTGGAGATGTCCAAACGGGGGAAAAAAAACTCCCTGCATCCAAGCGAGGAGAGAGAGAGGACTTATTACCTGAAAAAAAGTGGTTTCAGGATCGCAACCATCTCCCCCCCCCACAGCGGCGGCAAGGGCAGAGAGCTGCGCGTTTTAACCCCATCCAGCCTCAACAGCGCCTCCTGGCGGCGCCTCAAACAAAGTCCGTCTCTCCTTACCTAGGGCGCACGGAGCGCACGCTTTTAACGCGGGGAAAAAAAAGAAGTTTTTTTCCCCCTCTCCTCTTTTCTCCGGTGCGTTGGAAAGGCTGGCTCGTCCTTGCCTCCGGCGCTCGGAGGGAGAAGGAAAAACTCTGGTCCCCTCGGCGATGATCCCTTGCTCCGAGATGCCCGGCTTTTTTCCCCTCCCTTCCTCTGCTACCTCGCTTGCCTCCCTATTTATAAAGGCGAGCCGCTGTTTACACCAGCTGAGCGCCGGTTGCTCCTCCCGGCCGGTGACGTTGGGGGGTTGCATTCTGCACATGCCGCGCCGATTTG